TGGAACAGCCCTTTAAGCTGCACACTGAAGTCTGTTCTCCCCAGTTTCCAGAAGAAGAAATGAAGGCTCCGGGAAGTTAAGAGACTTCCCCCAAATCCCACAGCTGGTTAATAGCTGGGTCTAGGACTCAGGTCTCCGAACTCCCACTGGGCTTGGTTTACAGGGCCAGGTTGCTTCTGCATTAGGTAGAAGGATTATACTAATAAGGACAGGGAAGAAGGGAAGGAGAAAGAGGCCAAATGGACAGGAGCTAAGATAAGTAGTGTTTCTACCAATTTCTAGTACTCCAATATTATAAGTTATTCTTAAGAAATATTTTGTAGTTTTCAGAACGTTCTACAACGCAAGGCCTGTATTTGGACAGACGAGGAAGCACATTCCAGCTCTCTGATTTACCATTTGTGACTCTGAATTAATTATTTAAACTCTTTAAGCCCTGGGCTCCTCGTTTACAAAATGAAGACAATACCTATCTCATTGGGTCATAGTGACGATGAAATGACAGAATGTGTGTAAATAAATCTCACTTATGCAGTAGCCTACATGCAGGAGGCACCATTTATTTTAAGCTAAGAATGTTAAACACAAATTCGATTTGCTGGTCACCTTTGCAAGTGGAAGGAGGATATAGTCAAGGAGGAATAAACAGGGGCTTCGACTCTATTGTTCAAGTTTTCTTAAAGTCGGTGCTGGGTATATGGCTGTTGGCTCTATTATTCTTCACTGTTTTATGCGCATTTTTTAAATTTGCAGAGAGAAAGAAATTAATAAACAAACAGCCCTTATTATAATTTTTATTAATGAAAAAATATTCATTCACTTCTTACTCCATATTGAGCACTGTGCTGGGCGCGAGAAGGGATGCCCAGGGGACTAAGATTTAGTCCCTCCCCTCTAGATGAGAACTTCCGGTCTGCAGGGGCCCCAGCCCACTGTGAGAGCAGACAGAGGGAGGTAAGTGATCTGAGGGGTGAAAAGGAAGAAAAGAGACACCATAACTGTTTGGGGAGACTTTCGAAGGCTTCATCACAAAGGTGGCAACTGAAATGGGCCTTAAAAACTGACTAGAGTCTTAAGTAGAAGAAAAAAAGTGTGTAGCTAACAAGTATGGCATCGGGAAAGACACCAGGAGGGAACGCTGCATGGTTATACGGGTCACAGGCAGAGACCAGAGGATGCAAAGCCAGAGAAGCCAGGGGTCGAGCAGGTGTGAAAGAAGGCACGGACGGCCAGCACAGAGGTCGTCCGTGCACACCGAGGAAATAACGCCAGACACTTTCTCTTGTGACTCTCAAGAGAAAAATGTTCATGTGATCATACGGGGGGCACAAACCAGGTCTCATCAGAAGGGGGTGTGTAAAGGAGGTGGGGGCACAGCTGACCACTTTTACAGACACTTGCACCTGACTCAAAGGAAAGCAAAGGATGGTCATTGACGGCCACGGCAATAGCGGGAGGGAGTTTTCGTCAGGGAGGCCTCAGCATATTTCTAGAGAAAGGGGGGAAAGAACTAGTGGGACAGAGAGAAATACAGATGACAAGAGACAGGTGTTCCCCTTCACGTACCAGGTGCCAGAGGCAGCAAAAGGAGCAAGGTCGAAGTGGCATTCTCAGATTGCCAAACAAGAGGAGACTAAGAGTTATTTTTCTTGAACTAGCAAGAGTCCCCAGAACATTTTGGAAAAGGATTAGAGATGACCGTGCACACAAATGACCAATGTCTCCAGGACCACACCTCTTTCCAGGGCACTGTTACCTTGGGATAGGAAATAAAACTTGAAAACCATTGTTTTACAATAGAGCAAAGGATTTAGTTGGCAGGAAGTAGGGGAGGTGTCTGTACCAAACCTTTTTTTTTTACTAAAAAAGATAATATGATAACATGAAGAATGAAGTTCTTAATAAAGTAAAAATTAAGACCATCTGCCCACATGATTTCACATCAAGATTTCAAAGTGAAGGGAAAAAAAACAAAAAAAAACCCCAAAAAACTCAGACAACAGTATGGTGATTACCAGAGGGGAAGGGGGTTGGGGAGGGAGAAGAGAGTAAAGGGGAGATAAATGGAGATGGACGGAGACTTGACATGGGGTGGTGAACACACAATACAACATACAGATGGTGTAGGACTGTACACCTGAAACTTGTATAATTTTATTAACCAATGTCACCCCAGTAAATTCAATACAAACTTTTTTTGAATTTTAAGAAAAGATTTCAAACCAACCATTTTGGAAAACATTCTGGCAGTTTCTCAGAAAGTTAACTGTGGAATTACTATATGATCCAGCAATTTCGCTTCTAGGTATATAATCAAAGAATCAAAAACGTATGTCCAGACAAAACTTGTACACAAATATTCATTGCAGTGTTATTTATAAGAGCCAAAAAGTGGAAACCACCCAAAGGTCCATCAATTGATGAATGGATAAATAAAGTGTGATATACCCTGACAATGAAATATTATTCAAATGCAAAAAGGAATGAAGTACTGACGCATGTTAGAATATGATGAAACTTCAAAACAGTATCCTAAGTGAAAGAAGCCAGAGGCAAAAAGGCCACATAGTGTGTGATTTCGTTTATACAAAATATCCATAACAGGCAAATCTATAAAGACAACGTAGATCAGAGTTCGTCTGGGGAGTGGAGGAGCAGACAGGGGTGGTCAACCAGTGACTGCTCAGTGGTATGGTTTCTTTCTGGAGTGACCAAATGTTCTCAATTACATAGTGGTAATAACTACATAACTTTGTTAATACACTAAAACCACTGAACTTTGCACTTGAAAAATAATAATAATAATAAATGGAAAAAAAATTGAAACTAGACCTTCTGATGACTTGGGTAGGAGTGAGCATGAAGGTGGCCATACACACACATATCACTGCTCCACACATCCATCAATGAGCTACTCTTCCTAAATATTGTTATATTGAAATGAAGCCAGAATAACACAGAACCACAAAAGACCAGGCCACTCATATTCACATGCTCAGAAGAATAACAATAACAATTAATAATAACTAAAATTTATTGAGTTGTTTACCATGTGTCAGACCTAAGCACTTTACACAGATTAGCTCATTTCCTTTCTTACGGCAACCCTTTGAGGTACATACTATTCTCATCCTCATTTTACAGATGAGGAAATTAAGGCACAAATAAGTTTCATAATTTGTGTCAGTTCACCCAGTCTGTATTTCACCCCAGGCAATATGACTCATGAGCACTGTGTCATTCTGCCCCAACCGCCTTTGTCTTCTTAAAATCACTTGCGGAATACACTGACTTCCAGTGTAAATCAAGGCAGGAGAGGGTGGAGATTTTAAAACAACCCAAACTACTGACTCAAATAGCAATCCCAGACAGAAAATGAGAAAGACCCAAGGCTCTGAGGATGAGACCCAGCTGAGGGCTGCATCATGCTACTATGATTACAACTGGACGGTGCAACCTCAGCATGAAATTCTAGATTTTACCCAGTACATATAAGACTGGGGATAGATTACTAGAGTTCTCCCTGTCCACAATAATCTAATAATCTAAGTAAGTGACCCATCACAAGTGCAAACAAAAAGTGTATTATGTGTATAACTGTTTATATGTATAACAACATGCATATATGTTTACATACATGGGTGCTCACTAAACCATGAAGGGCAGATGGTAAGTTCTAAGTCCTAAATCACAGGAGAGAAAGAGATGAATAAGGGCAAAGTAATCAAAGAGGACTGCTTGAGGGGGCCTTGAGAACTAACATTTAGGAAGAGGCAGGAAGGATAAAGGTCACTACTTGCGGCAAGTTCAGAGAGAACAAGTTGGATTGTTCCTTCAGCGGCAAGGATGCCTGTCTGATTAAATCAAGAGGTGTACAGTGTTTAATGCACTGGAAAATAAGAGTGGACAGGCAGGAAGGGGTTATGTAAAGTAACAAAAGTCAAGGGAGTGTTTGGACTTGAGAGTAAGAAAAGGTAAATCATGGTCTGTGGCCTTGGCACAGCCGATCTTCATGTCCGAGTGAGCTTCCCTCACTGACCCTACAGCAATGTCAAGGGCTTCAGGACCGCACAGCTTCATGACTCTTGAAATCAATCCAGTAAGCATCTATTGAAATGTCTGTTACCAATTAGAAATGTCCTTTAAAAAACATTATCAATGTTAATATTTGTTCCAATGCAAACATTCAAATAAAGTGTAAATGTACCACTTGGGAAAAAAAAAGTTGTGAAAGCTGTATGGTATCGTACGCAACACTGGCTTCAGTATTTGCTTACCCAAACCCTGGAATTCCACCTTCTATGCTTTTTCGCAATTTCATTTTGATTACTCTGTTTCTGTCACATCTACCCCAAGGCATGACCCAGTGGAACCTTCATTTCCAGAGTTAAAATGTGATCGCTTAAAATTGCGGCCCTGAACAAATCGTGTTGTAAGGTCCCTTCGCAAAGCCACTTAGTGCGCTAATATGCATTAAACTTTTACACAATTCGTAGCTTAACTTGTAATAAATCAACATCCTACTGAGAAAATAGAGATTTTTTTTTTTTAATGTGACAAAATATTTCCTGTGCTCAGTCACGGAAATGGTCTTCTTGTGATAATAAAATGGAGTGACAAAGTATCCAACTCTCCTGCTGGGAGACACAAGCACGGTGGCTCCTGCCGGGAATGCACCCATCAATACACAGGCAGGGCAGCCGTGCTGACCACCCCGGGGAGCTGCTCCCGCCCTTCCCTGCCCGCAACAGCGCCGATTCTCCGCACTTTCCACAGGCACCCACCTGGGCTCAGGGGTCTCTGAGGATCTGTGCTTTCGGGCAAATTCTTACCCAAGGAACAGGACTAGCCTGTAGGGAGGGATCGGGGGCTTAGATTGTGCCTCGGTGTGACCTTAAAGCAAGCCCACCTCCGTAACTCAGACGCACGCGGGGACCCCCACTCCTGACAGCCGTGCCGCAGCCAGGTAACCCCAGGTCCCGGCCGGGGTGCGCACCCACCTGACCAGGGGCTCCTTCTCGGGCGCGGTGGGCTCCTCCAGGCACAGGCACGGGCAGCAGCAGCACACGGTCCTCAGCCAGTCCCTCAGCCCCATGGAGAGCGAGCCGCCCCGCCGGCGCCGGGAGACGCGGAGACAGCCGTGGGGGCGAGCGCGCGCGGCAGGGGCGCGGCCACGGGGCCGGCATCCAGGTGCGGGGACAGCGGTGGCCCGGGCGTCACGGGCCGGTCCTGGCGCATCACGCCGCGGCCGGGGACGCGGGCGAGGCCTGGGTCGCCTCCACGGCCCAGGATCTGCAGGGCCGTGCGCTTTCCTCCACTTGGGTTTTGTTTGGGGCGCGTGTTTTGTTGGAGAGCGCTCGCTCTCTCTGCCCCCCCCCCCCGCGCGCTCATTGGGGCGCATGCGTCCCGAGACGCCCCGCTGCTGCCCTCTAAGGAGGAAGCAGGGACTCCAGCCACACGGCGAAATCCGAGGGCACGGACGCCGCCCGGGCTGGGGAGGGAGCAGGGAGCCCTGGGGTCACAGGGCCGAGGCTGGGCCGAATCTACTCACACGTTTTATTGGCTTCACTCCCCAAGGAAATAACTCCTCCTCCCCAACCCCAAGCCTTTAAAGTAGAGTGTAGGACATTTTTAACAAGTCAGCCCCACGCGGTAAAAGTTAGCATAAGAGTATAGATTGGTGCGTTGTGGAGGGTGTGTGTGTGTGTCAGTACTATATTCACAATGATATTTTAAAAAATTGTTTTCAAGCCTTCCAGTTTTTTAATAACTCCCTCAAGGAAGGCGACCACTATCATTAATTTCTTGCGATTTTCCAGAGCTATTTATGCATGTATGTATGAATGTATTTATTTATGCGTGTACAAACTTGTAAGTATATGTACTCAAATCCCTCTCCTTTTTTTACCCACGCAGTGGCGTACTCCACACATTTCTGCCCTGGCTTGTTGTACTCAGTATATCATGGAAACTGTTTCACAACTGTGGGTGTGGGGGTGTGTGGGTGTGTGTGTAATCGTCCTCTATCATTTTAACAGTTACATATTATGCAGTCACATGAATGCCAATATGTTTAGCCAGGCCCCTATGGATGAACATTTAAGTAAATTTCAGATTTTTGTCATTAAAATAATGCTGCTGTGAACACCTTTGAACAATGTGTTTGGACATGTATAGCTATTGAGTAGATGGTTGGCAGTTGAATTGCTGGGTGAGATGCCTTTCTAAATTGTGATGGATCTTGCCAAGTTGCCCTCCAAAGTCTACACTCTGACTAGCAACACACGAAAGTGTCTATTTTCCTAAACCCCCACCAGTACAAAGTGTCCTTTGTCACCTGGATCATTACAATGACTTCTATTTGCATCTCCCTAAAACAGCTCATCTGATTTTCATTTTTGCCAATCTGGATTATTCAACAAATAATTATTGAGCTTCTGTCATGTGCCAAGCATGTTCTGGGCTCTGGAGTTACAGCAGTGAACAAAAGAAGCAATGTTTGCTCTTATTCTCCTGAAGCGAACATTCTGGCAGGGGGTTCAATAAAACAAGCACATAATTAAGTATGTTAGAAAGCAAAGCATACTGTGGAGAACAACGTGGCAGGAAAGGGGATACGAAGCGCCAGGGAGGGTGTGTCTTGCAGTTTTTTATTTATTTTTAAATATGTTTTCATTGATTTTTTTAGAGAGAGAGGAAGGGAAAGAGAGATAGAAACATGGATGTGAGAGAAACATCTATCGGCTGCCTTCTGCATGCCCCCGACTGGGCATGGAGCCTGAAACCCCCGGCATGTGCCCTGACCAGGAATGGAACAAGGACCTCTCAGTCCATGGAACAACGCTCAATCCACTGAGCCACACCGGCCAGGCTGCTTGCAGTTTTAAATGGGGTGGTCAAGAAAGGCTTCCTGTTAACATTTAAACAAACATTTGAAGGAGATGAGCAAGGTAGTCCTGATATCAGAGGAAAGAGCCTTTTAGGGAGAGTGAAGACCATGTGCAAAACCCCAGAGGAGAGAGAATGAACGATAGGGTGCCTGAGAAACCGCAGGGTTCCAGGGTCTAGAGGTATGTGAGCCAGAAGGAAGAGTAATAGGAGATGATGGAATGAGGGACCTTGTAAGATTTTGTCAGGTCTCTGGATTTTGCTCCATGTGAGCTGACTAACACTTTGGAGGTTTCTGAGCAGAAGCAGTGATGTGGCAGTAGGATCCATTGCTACTTTCTTGAGAAGAATCTGGGTGCCAATGGCTGTTTTAGGGAGATGCAAATGGAAGTCATGGTAATGACCCAGGTGACAAATGGCAGTGGTTTGAACCAGGGAACTAGAGGTGCTAAGAAATGGTTCGACTTTGGATGGAATTTTAAAGTAGAGCCAGCAAGATTTGTGAAAGGGCTGGACGTAGGTTATTAAATAAGGAAGGAAGGGAGAGAGGGAGGGAGAAAGAGAGAGAGAGAGACAGTGAGCAAGCCAGCAAGAAGGAAAGGAAGGAAGGAAGGAAGGAAGGAAGGAAGGAAGGAAGGAAGGAAGGAAGGAAGGAAGGAAGGAAGGAAGGAAGGAAAAGAAAGTCCAAACTTTTGGGTTAACAAACTGTGGAGGTTAAATGGCCAATGACTGAAGCGGAGAGAGTATGGGAGGAGCAGGTTTGGAGGCGTGAGGAGGAAGAGCAAGAGTTTATTTTCAGAAGTGTCAATTCTCATGGGTGGTGTATTAATTTTTAAAGTGTGTCACTGCAAATAAGTTTGCCTGCCCTGGCTACATTAAGAGGCAGAAGGAACGTATCAAGTGCATGTTCACGGAGAGGCTGGCTACTGAGAGATACAGAAGCATCAGAGAGGCTCCTGAGGACTCTGGCTTAGTTGGGGAGATAAGGATCCATTGTGAAAAATTAACCAGACACAACTGGGTTCCAGCTGTCACCAGCCTGCACGGGGCTGAGATATCAAGCCCAACATCGTGTCATTTATCACTTGTAACTGCACCAGGATGGGGGCTAAGTGTTGTTCTTGACAGCAAACTTCCTACTGGCTGGAAAAATCCACTTGGTAGAACACACTGTGTTCTGAAATTGGATTTTGGATTTTAGTCCACTCAGGTTCAAGTAGAAAGTGCCAAAATGTGAACTCAGCCAGCAAGGAGATGAAATGTAGGATCTGACAGCTACTATTAACTATTGGAGTTGGATTTCTTGAAAATAGAGAAACCAGAGAGGGCATTCAGCTCCTGGAAAATGGGGGTGTTCTGCCCCTTTACTAACGTTGACTTAGACAAGTCATTTAATTTTTCTGAACCTCAGTGTTCTGCTCTGCGAAATGGAGATGATGAGTCCAGCCCTACCTACTGGTGACAACTGTGCAACTCAGACGAGATCATTTGAAAACCATAAAGCACTGTAGAAATACCACAATTTAGTGCTATTGATTAACTCCACGTAAATAGGTCTGTTGGGCAAATGCTAGTCCCAATACTACTGGCCTACATGTGACAGTATTTCTTTTCACCTTTGTACTTCTGCAATGTGTGGGCATCTTTTCTGAAAATTTTTTTCATTGATTTATTGATTTTAGAGAGACAGAGAGAGGAAGAGGAGAGAGAGAGAAGCATCAATTTGTTGTTCCACTTACTTATGCATTCATTGGTTGATTCTTGTATGTGCCCTGACCTGGGATCCAACGTGCAACCTTGGTGTATTGAGATGATGCTCTGACCAACTGAGTTACCCTGCCAGGGCTGTGTGGGCATCTTTTATGTAGACTGTTTCAGACCAGATATTTTTAGGAAGCCCTAGAACCACATCTATTTAGCAGAGTTGATCAGGAAGTTAATGCCCCACCTTACGAAGGACCATGTATAGTGTTTGTCTGCTCTAACAACTATCAATATTTTTCTTTTAAAGTTAATTTTAAGTTAATTTATAAGTGAAACACTCCTCTACAAAATTTAAATATTGCAGTTAAAGTTCCCTCTGACTGCAGTCCACAGTCCTGTCCCTTTTCTAGCCTCCCCAAGGTAATCATTATCATCAATGTGGTACCACTTTTTTCCTGGACACATATATACATATGTGCCCCGGTGGTGTATATATAGTATCATTGTGTGTCAGTTTTCTAGTAGTGAGTTTTGTTTTAATTAATATACAAAGTACCCATTAATCTGTCTGCAAGCTTTTTCCACTTAATGCAGTTAGTGTGTCTTGGAGATCTATTCTTATTACTACACCTCCTTCTTTTTAACTGATGTACTCTATTACTTAGTTTCCTAAGGATAAGTGTGTGTGTTTTCATAGTGCTCATCTTCCCAGAGGTTGAATACCTTCATGACTTCCCTGGTTTGGGGGAAAATTGGACCTTTGATAGGAGTACAAATGGCACCAAACCTTCCATCTTCAGCTGCTAGACAGCTAAGATCACATTTTGGCAACCTCATTTCCTTTTTCAGACATCATTCACAGGACAGCAGTGAGCTTTCTTTTTTTTTTTTTTTAGTGTTGCTGCTAGATTGTTTCCACTGCCTGGGTTGACACCAACGCATCACAGTCAGCAACATCTGACATTTACCAAGCACCTCTGGGCACCTGCTGTTGGGGGAGTAGGCAGTCCCCTGGGGTGACTAGTGATTCACAGACCATCAGCTGCTTGTTTTTTAGGTAGGCCTGCGGGTCTATATTCTCAGATTTTTTTTCCATGGCAGGGAAAACGCTAGAGTCTGCTTTGAAAACAACTAGTGTACTTTGAAGTCCTCCCTCTTTAAGAATTTACTGATGACTTCTGAGAGTTGGAGGAAAAGGCATATACAGGGTGAAAAAAAAAAGAAAATCAAAGTACTTAGCTCCCACACATCATTAGTGCATTCCACAGAAAAGCTATGCTTGCAGCAACATAGCACAAGCTGGTGTCATTCCATTATTCATTCAACAAATATTTAGTGAGCCAGGTACTGGAGATACAATGGTGAGCTCAATGTAGGTTCCATTCATAAAGATGGATTTGTTTTTTGTTTTTTTTTGCAATATCCCCAGCACCTACAACAGTGCAGGCACACAGTAGGCACTCAACAAATGTGTTGAATAAATGTATAAAAGCAGAAAAAGAACTATTTAGTGAACCCAGAGTTTGCATGAGAATTTATATTTAATTTCTAAAGGGTCTGCCTATGAGCTGCCTAAATCCCATAGGGAAAATATAAAGAGCACTTTCTCCATTAGACTTGCCTTCTTGGCCTGACATGGAAACAACTGCTCTTGCAGAAGGAGAGAAGGCACCTACTGAGCAGGCGCGAGTCTCATGCGCACCCTTGTAGTGCCCAAGTGAGGAAGAATGGGGAAACAGGAAAAGTAAGCCAGTTGGACGAAGAGTGGGAGACCTTCCTGCAGAAAATCAACTAGAGACACAAAAACTAGGGGAACGGGTACTGGCAAGGCAAAAACAATGGCCACTCAGTGATAGTAGCTGCTGATGCACTGGCTCAAATGCATTGTGTGTGTCCATGGAGCTTCTGCCATCTGGAATGGACAGAAAGGACTCCAGCCCCAGGTTCTAGCAGGTCCAACACCCAGTAACTCAGGGTACAGGGGCTTTTTGCAAAAAGGACTTCAGAATCCCAGTGCATCTCCTAAAAATCCAGCTAGTTCACTGATGAGTTCAGCAACATCTACTCCCCAAACCAGACAGAACAAGAGAAATGACTCCACCGGATGTCAAGGAACTCTCGTGTGAGGCTGTTGGCAGAGGCCGAGCTCCTCAAAGGGTGATCCTAAATGCCTGCACTGGAATTCTTAGGGATGCTTGTTGACACTCCGGATTCCTAGACCCTACTTGAGAGCTTCTGAAATGTAAGGTCTGAGGTTGGGGCCCCAGAATGTACCATTTTATCAGGCTCCCAAGCAGGGCTGGGACTCGGCTGAGGGTAATGAGGAATTTAGGGTATATTTAAGGAGACACTCACTCTTAGGGCACAACCCTGAGAGTGAGCATGTCCTTAAATGTTGCACTCCAGGCCCCTCACCTCCTTGGCCCCAGTCCTGGCCTACTCTAGAGGTTTGAGAATTCTGAGGCATACCCTTATGGATTGAACTGTGTCCCCTCTAACATTCATACGTTAAAGTCTTAATCCCTAGCACCTCAGCATATGACTGTATTTAAGTAGGGTCTTTAAAGAGGTACTTAAGGTTAAAGGAGGTCATTAATCCAACATGACTGGTCTCCTTATAAGAAGAGGATATTAGAACACAGACAAGAGGGAAGACCCAGGGAGAAGCCAAGGAGGGAGGCCTCAAAATGAAATCAACCCTGCAGACACCTCGATGTCCAACTTCTAGCCTCCAGAACTAGTAGAAAATACATTTCTGTTGCTTAAGCCACACAGTGGCAGCTTGTTATGGCAGCCCCAGCAAACTAACCACCAAGTTTGAGAACCATTGGCAAGGTGGTTAAGAGCATGGGCTCCGGGATCACAGTGCCCCCATGTGGTTGCAGTCGGGATTGGGCTAAATACACAAAGAGAGCACTTGGTACAATTTCATGGAAACCAGGAAGCGCTCTGTAAACATCAGCTATAATTACTGTTGTTAATTAAGTATACATACTTTAGTCAGACTCTATCCCATCGCCTTCCATAGCCAGTTGTGAGCACCTGAAATTATTTATTTCAACAAATATTTGAGTGTCGATGAAAAGTTAGTGTCCACTTTATAAGCATGGCACTGTGCTCAACCTCTTGTGGAATACAAAGATGAAAAATACGCAGTACTCATCCTTATAGTACTACCCAGGGAAAAACCTGGAAAATTGATACTGAAATGTTCAGTATTTACTTGTGCCCAAGGCAACCATTCTTTTGATTGCTTTCCTTACCTCACCCCAGCTTTCTCATGTTTAACTATCCTGTCATACCTAACTATACTTCCATAGCCAACCACTCTGCCATATTTTACTATACTCTCATAGCTAATTATGCTGCTCTATCAACAATATTCCCATATCTAACTAAGTCCACTGTCACCGCTAACTGTCCTGTTATAACAAACACTTTTCAGATGACCAGAACAGCCCCACTGGTGTGACCATGGAACCTGACCTTTTCCCACTTCCCTACCATCCCAAGTATTCTACACTCTCCAAAGTCTCTCCATATATACCTAACTAAAATTAAGCGTTCCTAATTCAATTAAACTCTACTTACTATACATTATTAAGCACCTGCTATATGCAAGGTGATACCAAGTTACAAAATAGAAAGCATGCCCTAACAGGCTGACTCCAAAAATGAGGGTAATGGAGGGTACATGAACACTGTTCATATTTGCCATAAAAGGCTCCCAAAGGTTTGCCCCAACTTTAAGCCCAGCTCTTACCAACCTGTGTTACTAGATAGCCAAATATATGCCATTGGGTGTTTGGTTTTCCACCTATTTATATTACTTATTTCTTCATAACACTCACAGAGAGACATAAACAAGCCAGAACCCTGCAACTTTCTACAGAACCAAAACTCCTGGTCAAGCTCCCCATTAAAGTTATAGTATACAAACCCTCCTGTGGTTCTCCATGCTGCCACCTCGTGGGCTTCCCTTGTAAATGAACCGCAGTTTCTTCAGAGAGGAATCTGACAAGGGTTAGAAAGCTGTCACTCTGCAGAGGGGAAGTGGTTGTCACTACAATGCCTCTGCAGACTTACATCTCAAAGGGTCCCGCTATATCCAAATGGAGGGTTTAAAGTCGGCTAGAGTCAGCCTGTTAGGGCAATGCTAAATTGAACAGAAAGTCCTCGCTTCACTTGGCTAGCAGGTGCCATGTAATTATTCTTTTACTATTTCATTTGACCTTACTAAGCATTGCTTCTTGATTTATTAGCCTGGAATCTATGGAAAAGTGCATAGGACATTACATATGTTTCTTAACTTCTGTCAAAGAGTAATCTAAATGAATAATTTGAGTGAAAGAGTTTTGGTTTTTAAATTTTATTATTTAGCTGTTTATGTATTTAAATAAACCTGTCTTGGAAACAGCTTGATGACAAATTAAAAGAGGAAAGTGCAATTCCCCAGAGGGAGAGCTGTCTTCGGTGAAAATTCCTTCTGATAAATGGGCTATCTTGTTCTGCATGGTGATGGAGGTGACGTAGGAATTGGGGTGAGGAGCAGGGAATGGGAAGAAGCTGGAACAGAGAAGATGAAGCAGGAATGAGGGAGGCTGGTGTCTGCCGAGCACGGTTGTGAGCTGTGTCTGAAGGAAGGTGGTAGTCAGCCAGCCCCTCCACAACAGGACAACCCCACAAACCGGGACTTAGAAAAAGAGCCAGACTCTCAACAAACTGATAGAGCCCAGCCGATGTGAATCAGTGGTTGACCCATGCACCAAGAGGTCACCAGTTCAATTCCTGGTTAGGGTGCATGCCCAGGTTGTGGGTCCAATCCCCACTGGGGGCATGCAGGAGGCGGCCAGTAGATGTACTCTCTCGTCGATGTTTCTATCTCTCTCCCTTCCTCTCTCTCTCCAAAAATCAATAAAGAAAAAAAAATTTTGTAAAACACTGATAGATGCCTCATGTTCTCCTTGGTCAAACCGAGGCCCCATTTAAGGATATACCATGAGCACCCTCTCCATGACTATGTGAAGTCTGCTCACTTGAGTCTTAAGCTCCACCCTCCCTTCCCATGCTGAGCATCACAAGGGGCTTCTCTCCCTTAGCTGGGTGTCAGCCATTTTCAGTTTAGAAAGGCTTTGTCACTCCAGGTAGGAATTTTACACCGAGCCATCCTGCTTACCTCTTACACCCTTCCCCGTTCCCCACCATCCCCTCCACCCAAACACCAGAAGAGGCTGTTTTAAAGACCGTGAGAGGAAAAAAGTGAAAAACGTGGAGAGAAGACCTCTAGTACCTGTAGCAAAAGAGCAAAGCTTCTCAGCTGAGAGGAGCTAACCCTCCGCTGGAACTGTACATGTATCACGCAGCATCACATGGTATCACACAGTGGTTTCCAGGGAAGCCGCCCCGAGGTGGAGGTAGCGTCCAGGAGGGTTACCAGGGAAGAGAAGGGAAGAAAGTGGAGCAGGACCGGGCCTCCGCCAGCCCTAAGGAGAGCTCTGCAGATAGAACTGTCACTGGTGAGGGCTTCTCGCCCTCCCTCACGCTAGAAATCAAGAGAGGAGGGGAAAGGTGTTGGTTGGGATTTAAAAATGCCTTTATTTCAGGAATAGTTTTTACATAGACAAATTTGATAACATGAAAAGGCACAGAATGATTTTTCCATACAAATTACAAGCTCCTATAAAGTATAGAAGTACATTCTTAAGATGTTAAGGCATTTGGGGACAAAAGACATCTCCTTTTTTCCTTAATTTAAAGATTGGCTTTATACTTCACAGACTCCTTCATCCTTTTGACATCAGAAAGGTCCCCTGGTCCCTCCGGCCAGTTGTCATGATCTGTTAAGTGGAACACATGTCACTTACAAATCTATTAACCTTACAAGTCCCCCCAGTTTCCACCAAACCCTCCTGTTATTTTCCCTGAAAGTAACAAGAAATTATTAGGACAAATAGCACAGGCTCTGAGAAAATCCTGGATTTGATTCCCAGCTCTGTCACTTTACTAGCTTTTCAGAATTTGGAGAAATTACTCTTCCTGAGCCTCAGTTTTCTCATCTATTAAAGGGCATAATCACATCTATCTTCTAAAGTTGTGAGAATTCAATGTGACACCCTATGCACAGCCCTTGGCATACTGTAGACATTCAATAAATGTGACTTTCTTAATGATGATTTACAACAACGTGCTTACTCTGTACCCGGAACATCTAGCTGCCCGCCCAGCATTCAGCCCCTCACCTCCTCCTCCTCCCACAGCCTGGGGGCACTTAGAATTCCATGAGGTTCTGCAAGTGATCTCACTCAGACCGCTGACTGGTGGCCGACTGACCTGAGTCAACCAATGCACTCCATTCCCCTGGCTGTGGTTATTGGTTAGGGATAGGCATTTGCATAAATTAGTCCAAAGCAGAGTAGATGTCAGAATGTGGTTAGAAATGTTGAAAGAAAGTCCTTCCCCTCCCATCTCTCTCTGTCCAGATGGATGTGAACAAAGAAGCTGTAGGAACAGCAGGCAGCCATCCTGCCACAAGGAGAGTGAAAGCCAACATCATAGAAGCAAAAACAGAAGTAAGAGTAAAAATTGTCCTTGATGAGGACACTGAGCTGCTGAGTGAAGTGTCACCTGCTTGTCAGTTACTCGAGGCAACACATTCCTTTATGGCTCAAGCCAGTTTGGGTTGCGTCTAAAAGCATCTTGTCTGTCCCAGGGCTTTAAATGTTCGTTATCTGATTTGATCCTCCCAACAGCTTACAAAATCAATGCTATAAGTGAACCCACTTGATAGAAAAGAAAATGGAGGCTTATAGAATTAATTTCCCAAGGTCAAAGAGCTAAGAGGGGTACCAGGTTCCGATCGCAGGCACCCTCACTGCAGGGCTGGCAACCTTCAAGCAAACTCTACAAGGAAGGCTGAATATTCCCACTCATCATTTTGCGGGACTATATTCTTAAAAAACAGATGTAGCTGCTTTCCTTAAAAACTTAAAAAATGTTTTTGTACTGATAAAAAGTGTTAGAATGACAAGAGAAAATCATTTCACTGGAGGCCTGGAGAAGCAGCCACCTGGAATTTCTCTCTTTACCAAAAAAGAGTGAACTCACCTTAACAAATACTTCTGACTCAACTCTGCCAGTGAGAGATGTGGAGTCTCTCCCACTCTTGCTGTTTTAAGTACTATCAGAAAACAAAGCTGCATAACCATGTGCACGTCTGTGTTTACAACTGAGATCCTTAAAACCAAAGTATCTTGTGTCCCTCACCATTGATGCTATTAGTGAAGAAATATATGTGGGAGGGAGAAAGAATAAGTAATATTCCAGTTCTATACTAATCATTTATTAATGTAAAGGTCCTTAGCCTTGATTGAATTGTTAGCATATGAAAAGGTAGGTTGAACCTGGGTCCCTGATATGAAATTCAAAGACACATGTATTACCTGAACCACATTTTAATTTGCTAGTAGCCACTTAATCAACTATCTTGAGCACTAGTTTGAATATGTTTGAATTTTATATCTTTTTTTATATTTTGGGAGTGATTAACTTGAATGTGCCTTTTAGTTTCCATAGATTTGTTTTTTCATTTGTAAAATTAGGATACTGGACTAATTAAAAAAAAAAATTTTTTTCTTTGTTGATTTTTAGAAAGAGAGTAATGGAGAGGGAGAGAGAGATAGAAACATCAGTGAGAGAGAGCATGATTGGCCACCTCCTGCATGCCCCCCACTGCGCATTGGGCCCATAACCTGGGCATGTGCCCTGACCAGGAATCGAACTGGCGACCTCTTGATGCATGGGTGGATGCTCAACCACTGAGCCACACCGGCTGGACTGATTTTTAAAACTATGTTTTTATTGAATTTTTAGAGAGAGAAGAAGTGGGAGAGAGATAGAAACATGAACGAGAGAGAAACTCAATGGGCTGCCTCCTTCACACCCCCTGCTGGAGACTGAGCCTGTAACACAGGCATGTGTCCTGGGAATCAAACCAAGACCTCTCAGTCCATGGGCCAACACTCAATCCACTGAGCCACACTTGCCTCGCTGGACTGATTTTTTTTTTAGGACCCTTTCAACCCCCAAATTCTCTGGTCTAGTCATGAGACACACACATGCACTCCCCTCCCCCCCCACACACACACATTTGTGTGTAATATCTATTTAGTTGAGCCTTATTAAACTGTTTTGTATATCAAAAATGAATACAGCAAATTCATATGGTTCATTCAATCTATATCCCAAAGATAGCGTAAAAGAGCACCATAACCCCTCTCCACCTAACAGGTCCGATTCTTCTGCTCAGACCTTACTGAGGAATAAAGAGGAACTCAATCTAAAAGAATATGGCAACTTCTTGCCTTTTTTCCTATCTTCTCCTTACACATATGGTCTCATATTGAGAATATTTTTTAAGGTTCAAATTCTACTAACTTACACACACACACACACACACAAACTGCCTTTTTAAATATATATAAATTCCATAAATAAAGATATTTAGATATTTTTGTGATGAGGAACATTCCTTTCAAAACCGTATCATAAATATAAACATTTTACACATTTTGATGTGCTGACAGAACACTCTAAGATAATTTGAAAATGTGAACACGAAAAGGCATGAAGTTCACTAACTCACTGCTTGACTGCTTACCTGGTATTTCATTAATGTGAGTGTACAGAGACTGGCCCCCATCCACTTCAACCAACTGTCCGGTGATGAAGGAAGCTGCTGGAGATAGCAGAAAACATACCAGGGGGGAAACCTAGAAATGGAAAAACACACACAAAAGGAGACATGTCTCATATTTGCCTGCTTCCCAATCTTGAGCAACACATCTCAGAGCCCACGTCTGCGACATGAATTCCAAGGTGTACGTGTACCAGAATCTGACAGGACATAGATAACTGCCTTTTTTCTTTTTTATTTGAGCATCATGAAAATCAGGTAAGAGATTAGGGTGAAGACAGCGAGATAGGACAGATCCTCTGACAATGTCAAATAAGCTACACAGGGCTTAATTTGGGCTCTTTTCCATTTCAAACAACTCAGTTCCTTCTACACCTTTAAGTGCCCCCCACAACTATACTTCTCATCACTGCCACCAACTATACTTCTCATCACTGCCACGTGCCTTTTATATTTGTGTCCCCAAAATAGTCAATGTGCCTGTAAAATAACGTGGCATGCTCATCTGTTCAGTCTGTGGTCCTGCAGGCTAAACACCCAGCAATTCAGACTACAAGGACTTTCTGCCCAAAGGAATTCAGAATCCCAGTGCATCCCCTAAAAATCCAGCTAGTTCACTACTGAGTTCAGCAACATCTACTCCCCAAACCAGACTGTACGAGAGAAATGACTCCACCAGATGTCAAGGAACTCTCATGAGAGGCTGTTGGCACAGCCGAGCTCCTCAAAGGGTGATCCTAAACGCCTGCACTGGAATTCTTAGGGATGCTTGTTGACACTCCGGATCCCTAGACCCTGCTTGAGAGCTTCTGAATGTAAGCCCTGTGGTTGGGCCTCAGAATCTACCATTTTATCAGGCTCCCGGGCAGGGCTGGGACATGCATGTGCCTAATGAGGGGCTTAGGATGCCACACTTAAGGAGGTGCTCACTCTTGGGGCAGACCCTACACTAGCACAACCCCGAGAGTGAGCACATTCTTAAATTTTGTGTCCATGGCTTGCTTGCCTCACTCTAGTCTTGGTCCTGCACTGAGCACTGTAGCCACGTTTGTTCACATGGCTTTGCCTCTTTGAGACACTGAGACCCTGGAGAGCAGGCATAGCTTTCTCTCCACCCTTGCGCACCCAGCAGCTCATATAGAAATGAACTGTCTCAAACGGAGGCCACTAGCCCTGTGGCACTACCTAAACACTTGCCACAGGGCTAGTCTGAATTGAGATGTGCTGTAAATATAAAATACGCACCAGGCTTTGAAGACTTGCTATGAAAAGCAGAATGTTAAATATCACATAAATAGTTTTTATATTGATCATATGTTGAAATGATAATGCTTTAAACATATCAGGTTAAGTAAAATATATGATAAAACTAAGGTTACCTCTTTTTACTTTTCTTTTTTAAACTCATCTGTATTGTTGAATTACAGATGTTTCTACCTTTTTTCCCCATTGACCCCCTCCTCCCCATTCCCACCCCCTCCTGCCTTCCCCACACTATTGTCGGTGTCCATTGGTTACACATATATGCATAGAAGTTCTTTGGTTTATCTCATCCCACCCTCCCTCCCCCTTTCCCTTTGAGGTTCATCAGACTAACAACCAATTTGTACTTCTTCATTCCTTCATCTTTTTCACCTATCCTCCCACCCCCACCCATCTGGCAAGCAACAAAAAGTTCTCTGTATCTATGAGTTTATTTCTGTTCTGCTTGCTCATTTTGCTTGTAGATTCAATTGTTGATAGATTTGTATTATTTGCCATTTTATTCTTCATATTTTTGTTCTTCGCCTTCAAGAAGACCCTTCAACATTTCATATAATACTGGTTTGGTAGTGAAGAATTCCTTTAGCTTTTTCTTGTCTGGGAAACTCTTAATTCTAAATGATGGCTTTGCAGGATAGAGTAATCTTGGTTGTAAGCCATTGCTTTTCATCACCTTTAATCTCTCTTGCCACTCCCTTCTGGTCTGCAAAGTTTCTTTTGAGAAATCAGCTGACAGTCTTATGGGAGCTCCTTTGTAGGTAACAGACTGCTTTTCTCTCACTGCTTTTAAGATTCTCTCTTTGTCTTGAACCTTCGGCATTTTGATGATGATGTGTCTTGGCGTGGGCCTCTTTTGGTTCAACCATTTGGGACTCTCTGTGCTTCCTGGACTTGTATGTCTGTTTCCTTCACCAAGTTAGAGAAGTTTTCTGTCGTTATTGTTTCAAATAGTTTTTCAAATTGTTGCTCTCTCTCTTCTCCTTCAGGCACCCCCAAGATGCGAATGTTGGCACGCTTGAAGTTGCCCCAGAGACTCCTTACACTATCCTCATTTTTTTGGATTCTTCTTTTTGCTGTTCTAGTTGGGTGTTTTCTGCTTCCTTATATTCCAAATCGATAGTTTGTTTCTTGGCTTTCCCTACTCTACTATTGATTCCCAGTAAATTATTCTTTATTTCAGTTAGTGCATCCTTTTTCTGACTGGCCCTTTTTTATGTTGTTGATGGTCTAAGTTCCTCAGAGGTCTCCTAAGTTCCTTGAAGATCTTACTAAGTCCCTTGGATGTCTCACCAAGTTCCCTGAGCAACCTTATAACCTGTGTTCTGAACTCTGCATCTGTGGAGCCCCCAGTCTCGCCGCTGGGGGCTGGGGAGTGCTGCTGCCCAGTGGGGCTCAGCTCCTGCTCAGCCTTTGCTGTAGGTTTTTTTGAGGGGGGGAATAGTTCTCTGCTGCTGGTCTGTGCTTCTGTTGCCTGGGGATGGATGTCTGCTCTCCAGCCTCTGTCGCTGGGGGTATATCTCAACTCTGATTAGGCTGCTACTGCTGGGGATGATGCTGGGCTCCTGGCCTTTTGCGGTTTCTGCAACCAGCACCTTGGCAGCTCCACCGCTGTGCACTGGTCTGTGTTGACACAGGGTGTCCATTGGCCCGATGGTGCCAGGTGCACTGGTGGGCTCAGGTACCAGATGCTGCTTGTTTGAGAGATTTTAGGAATCTCTGAAGTAGGATACAAGACAGGCCAATCCTATGATAAAGCCTTTGGAAACAGCTTGGGTGGGCCTGAAAGTTGGATGGGGCAGGGCCAACAGTGTGAGCCAGGTTGCTGGAGTCCCAAATGTGGTGGTGTCTGCCGCCCCAGGGAAGGGCTCACCAAAGGAAAAACAGCCTTCACCAGCACGTCTGTCCAGGAGAAAGCTGCCCCTCCAGCCCTCGTCTGGAGGCCAAACAGCTCAGTTCTTCCCTGTTCTCTGGTGCCCCTCAAGCTGCCTCCCCTCAGAGCTCAGAGGGAGTGGGTCTGAGTAAGTCTGTGTGAGGGCCCTTTAAGAGGAACTGCTGGGGTTTCTGCAGCTGCAGCCTCCCTCAGTCTCAGTTCCCGCTGGTTTTACAGCCAGAAGTTATGGGGACTTTTCTTCCTGGCACTGGGGCCAAGCTGGGACCCTGAGCTGGGCACCTGGTGTGGGGCAGGGACCCCTCACTCCTCAGGAAGGGCCTTCCCAGCCGAGGTGACCCTCCTGATTTTTATCTGCCACACGTGGGTGTGGGACGAGCCCGTCCCCTTCACCCTCCTACCAGTCTGGATGTGGCTGCTGCTTTAATTCCATAGCTGTAGGACTTCCATTCAGCTTGATGTTAGTCTGCACAGCTACCATGGTCTCTGCTTCCCTTCACAACCAAGCTTTCTGAAGGCAATACCTACATTATTAGTTAAAGCATGACCGGCAAAACCCTGGGTGTACCTAAGACCTTTCCAGGGGATTTGCAGGTCAAACTACTTTCAAAATAATATTAAGTCCTTATTTGCCTTTTTCACTTTGCTAACATTTGTCCTAATAGTGCCAAAGCCATGGTGGGTAAGATGGCTGGAGCCTCAGCAGGAATCTTGGCAGGAACATGAGTTGACCTAGTGATCCTTATTGTAGTAATGATTATATCCTTCACGGGCAAGGACTCATGAGGGTGTGAGGGAGCCTGTTTCGTGTTAGAATGTCCTTGGTGAAGCAATAAAGATGACTAATTGTATTGATCTCAACCACTGAGCCTACACTGTTTCAATATCCTATGTGATGAAATAGGAATTACACATCAAACTCTTCTGTTCCATACAGAAGTATAATGGTTGCCTCAAGGAAAAGCAAGTGTAGTTGAGGTGTGAACTAAACTAGTCACGTTTTCCATGAAACACCATTTTTTACTTGAAGAAACAAAATGCAGTCACTGATACTTGGTCACTGGGCCGACATTTTTTCAAATGTCAATTCAAAGAGAAACATCTGACAGAATTCGTTGATAAGATTTGAGTTTTCAGGTAAAAATTAGAATTTTGGAAAACTTGAACTAGTTACCATGAGCTTGGCAATTTTCTGATACTTAAAGATTTTTCTGAAGAGATTAGTGGTGACGTTAACAAATGTAACCTTTTGATATTGTACGTCAACACTTAGAATTGTATGTCAACATTTAGAAGATCTGCATAACTCAGTGAACCAAAAGACCAATGCCTGATGTTACAGAATCATCTCTGGGTCAAATGCCTAGGCAAACTGTAAGAAAGATCAAAGGACCCTGGCCGGTTTGGCTCAGCGGTTACAGTGTTGGCCTGCGGTCCCGAGAGACCCAGGTTCAGTTCCCGCTAAGGGCATGTACCTCGGTTGCGGTTTGTCCCCAGCCCTGGTTGGGTGGTGCAGGTAGGTGGCGGCCACTCGATGTGTCCCTTTCACGTCAATGTTTCTCTCTTCCTCTCTCTCCCTCCCACTCTATCTGAACAAAAAAATGGAAAAATGTCCTCGAGGATAAAAAAAAAGAAAAGACAGATCAAAGGATTTTAATGTAGCAGAGTACAAAAAGTTCACTGACATGGTTCCAGGTTTCACAATGCAACTTATCTTTAAAAACTGCCAGGTTTTTAAAAAATTTTCATTCATATTTTTATTGTGTGTATATATATATATAAATTTTTTATTTATTAATTTTTGTTACAGATGTTTCTCATTTTTCCCCCATTGACACCCTCCTCCCCTTCCCCACCTGCCCCATCCCCATTATCGTTGTCTATGTTCATTGGTCATGCATACATGCATGTAAGTTCTGTGGTTTATCTCATCCCCCACAAATCCCCCCTCCTCTGAGGCTTGTCAGTCTGTACCCCACCTCCATGTCTCTGGGCTAATTTTGTTCAGCAGTTTGTTTAGTTCATTATATTCCACAAATAAGTGAGATTATGTGATATTTGTCTTTCTCTACTTGGCTTGTTTTGCTTAGGATAATACTCTCCATGTCCTTCCATGTCATCTCAAAGGATAAGAGATCTTTCTTTCTTACAGCTGCATAGAACTCCATTGTGTACATGTACCACAGCTTTTTAATCCACTCATCTACTGATGGACACTTGGGCTGTTTCCAGATCTTAGCTATTGTAAATAGTGCTGCTATGAACATGGGGGTACATATATTCTTTCTGATTGGTGTTTCAGGCTTCTTAGGGTATATTCCTAAAAGTGGGATCACTGGGTCAAATGGCAGTTCAATTTTTAACTTTTTGAGGTAACACCATAGTGTTTTCCACAGTGGCTGAACCAGTCTGCATTCCCACCAGCAGTGTACTAGAGTCCCCATTTCTCCACACCCTCGCCAATACTTGTTGTTTGATCCTTTGTTGATGGCGGCCATTCTGACAGGTGTGAGGTGATACCTCATAGTTGTTTTAATTTGCATCTCTCTGATGATTAGTGATGTTGAGCATTTCTTCATATGTCTCTTGGCCATTTGTATGTCCTTTTTGGAGAGGTGTCTATTTAGGTCCTCTGCTCAGTTTTTGAATAGTAAAGGAGAATATTCACAATTATCTAACAGGCTATTAAAATGCTCCTCCATTTTCAACTGTACATGTACATGAAGCCAGATTTTCTTCATATGCTTTACGCAAAATACTAGATTGCAACAGATTGAATGGAGAGGCAGATGTGCAAGTCCAGCCATATGCTAGTAAGCCATACATTAAAGAGATTTGTAAAAATGTAAAACAAATGTAAAAAATTGTTTTCCTTTGGTTTTGAAAATGTAGCTATTTTTCATTAAAAATATTACTTACAGTAACACATAATGCCTTTATTACTATTAATATAAAGTAAATTGATAAGTATTTCTTAAATTTCTCAATTTCAATTTCTATTCAGTAAATATAGATAAAATTATTCACATGAACAAAAGGATTGTTCTGTACAAAAATGTAAATTTAATCCTCTCATTCCCTTTTATTAAAGTCCTTTAAAACCCCTCTTAGGGGACTTCCGGTCAAGATGGCGGGTAGGTAAACGCAGTACCGCGTCCTCCCACAACCACATCCAAGTTACAACAAAACTACAGAACCACCACCATTCAAAACCGCCTGAAATCAAGCTGAATGGAAGTCCTACAACTACGGAATTAAAGAAGCTGCATCGAGACTGGCAAAAGGGGCGGCGGCGCGACTGGCTGGTCCCACACCCACGTGTGGGGATAAAAATCAGGAGGACACCTCGGCTGGGAAGGTCCTTCCTGAGGACTGAGGGGTCCCCGTCCCACACCAGGTGCCCTGCTCAGGGTTCCAGTGCCAGGAAGAGAATCCCCATCACTTCTGGCTGGAAAAACCAGCAGGAACTGAGGCTCAGGGAGGCTGAGGGGCTGGAGCCCCAGGCAGCTCCTTAAAGGGCCCGCGCACGGACTTAACCGGACTCTCTCCCTCTAAGCTCAGAGGGGAGGCAGCTCGACAGGCACCAGGGACACACAGGGAAGAGCTGTTTGGCACTGGAGGGAGGGCTGGAGAGGGGGCTTTCTCCGGGACAAACGTGCTGTCAGAGGCCTTTGTTCCTTTGGTGAGCCCTTCCCTGGGGCGGCAGACAGCCAGCATATCCAGGCCTCCAGCAACCTGGCTCACACTGGTAGCCCCACCCTGGTGGTTCCCTGAGGCCCCGCCCCACCCAACTTTCAGGCCCACCCAAGCTGTTGGCACTTGCTTAGCCATAGGATTGGCCTGAAACTTTGCAGGCCAGAAGGGAGTGGCAAGAAATATTCAGAGTGATGAAAAGCAAGAACCTACAACCAAGATTACTCTATCCTGCAAAGCTGTCATTTAGAATCGATGGACATATAAAGACTTTCCCAGACAAGAAAAAGTTAAAGGTTCATCACCACCAAACCGTTATTATATGAAATGATGAAGGGTCTTTTTTAAGAAAAAGATAAAATATACGAACAAACAAAATGGCAATGAATACATATCTATCAACAATGGAATCTACAAACAAAATGAACAGATAGAACAGAAACATTCTCATAGATACAGAGAACATTTTGTTGGTTGCCAGATGGAAGGGGGTTTGGGGGAATGGGTGAAAAAGGTGAAGGGATTAAGAAGTACAAATTGGTTGCTAAACTGACAAACCTCAAAGGGAAAGGGGCTGGGGGGTGGGAAGAAATAAACCAAAAAACTTATATGCATAACAATGGACACAGACAATAGTGTGGGAAAAGGTGGGAGGGAGGCGGGAGTGGGGAGGAGGGAGTCAACGGGGGTAAAAAATGTGGAACATCTTTAATACATTATACATTCAACAATAAAGATTTAAAATAAATAAATAAATAAATAAATAAATAAATAAATAAATAAATAAATAAAGGTATTTGGGACATTTGGGGGGAAAAAAAGAGTTGTATGGTTTTGCTTTCATACATAGCACTTCAATATATCTGAACATTATTTTGTATGTGTGTGAGGTGAGAGAGAGGGGTCTAATCTATTTCTAAATGAACAACCCATTGCTGCAAAACCTGCTGAATGGTCTGTTCTTTCCCCATATATTGAAATGCTACTTTTATCCTATAAACTCCCGTAAATACATGGTGCTGATACAAGAATCCATTCTATTCCGCTAATTTTAATCTATTTTAGTACCAGCACCAGATGTTGTAAATAAATATGTTTTGATATCAGGAAGATCAAAGCCCCCCATTATTCTTTTTCAACACACTTTTGGCTGTTTTTTTTTTTAATCCTCACCCGAGGACATTTTTTGTTCAGGTAGAGTGGGGGGCGGGGGGAGAGAGGAACAGAGAGAGAGAGAAACATCGATGTGAAAGGGACACATCGAGTGGCTGCCACCCGCACAACCGACCAGGGCCGGGGACAAACTGCAACCAAGGTACGTGCCCTTAGCGGGAACCAAACCCGGGTCTCTCAGGACCGCAGGCCGATGCTCCAACCGCTGAGCCAAACGGGCCAGGGCCACTTTTGGCTGTTTTTACACAAATATTTTTCTAGACAAATTTCAGAATCAGTGTGTTAAATTCCAAAAATATATTAAATTTATACATTACTTTAGAAAAACTTGATTTCAATAACATTGATTCTCTCCATTGAGAAATATGACATGTCTCTCTACTCTGGTCTTTTTTTTCCTAGTCTTTAGTAATAAAATGTTTTCTGTTCAGAGCTAAGTTTACACTACGTATTTTAGTTTTTATTATTCTTGTGGAAATTATATCCTTTTTCTTGTTCATTACCTTTTTAGACTCATATAGCTAACATTTAAGAAAGCTATTGGTTTTTTCATACTTAAACCTGGCCGTCCTACAGAAGTTGTGTAAGGAATATCATAGAGTCGAAATCGTCTGGCTTGTTTAGGGTCCTGCACACCAACAAATGTCACAAGATAAAATAATATCGTTGAAAAGTACAACGAAACAATGAAAACATGCTGTTCTTAATTCACACTGCATTTGCTCCAGAATAAAGACTGCTGTGGGTTTCAAGCACAAGCAGGGTTCTCCCGGAGCCGGACAGCCCCGGAACATGGTTTGTTGGCAGTGGAAGGAAGCATCATCTCTGTCAGCCAAACACTCTATGTAAAAAGGACACCAAAGTGTTACTAAGTTCCAAAGTATGAAACAAAGTAATCCTAATCAATGTTAGAAATATACATTACCTCCTCAGGAATCCCCATTCTTTTAGCTGGGATTGCCTGGAAGACGTTTTCAAATAAGCCTTTTGCCAAATGACCATAGTTGTCAAAAGCAGTCTTGGAATAAATGACTCCCTATGTTTAGATGTAAAACAGGAAGAAAATAAGGAAGATAAGGTTACATTTTAATTGTAAAGGTATCAAGGCAGTCTATCAACCAATACCAAAAATTAAGTGACTTCATAGAAAAGTTAATATTTCTAATATTACATTTTCTCAATCTTGTCAAAGAAATACAGTCAACCACTAACTACTACGAATGGAGTATCTGAATGCTCATTTTGTGACCTCCTCTTCCTTAATAACCAGTCAAAGCCTAGATTTTTTTCATAAAAGACGTGGCTTCTGAAAGCATAATTACATGAACAGATTAGGGAGGCTCTTAACTGGGAACAGTGAGATGGGGGAGTCTGTTTTATTTCCCACTGGGCTTCTCTGTTTTACAACACAAGACTGGCCCATGATTAAGGGAGCTTTAGAAAATGCAGTATTTTCATGGCTTTTCACCTAAAGCAAAATCACAAAAAGCATTTGAATCTAATATAAATAAACTAAAAATTTAATTGTTTAAGAATTCTCTTATATTGCTTTCATGGGTTTATAGAGCCAAGGAAATTATGAAAAAAAAAAAAAAACCTGTATAACACAGGATAAAGCTATTTGTTATTGGCTCAAAACTATAACAGAGGTTAGGGGAAGAGGCGAGGAAACAGCAGGTGTAAAAGATGATGAAATTTCATGGCATTCCTGGTTTCCAATTAAACAGTTAGTAACCTTTCATTTAAAGAAGGAATGCATCTTCTAGAAGTTTTAAGGTTTAGACATTAAACATGAGGAGAAACATGACTTTAGTGATGTGCTTGCAGTACTAACATACCACTAAAGGTTTTCAAGAAATGCCCTTAGGAGGCCAGTATTCCAAGGTAGCAACATTAAGAACAGAACTATATTCAATGTATCCTAAAGATATTAGCATGTCATATGAGTAAGGTAATGTCAGCTAGAGGATGTACAGAAGGGAAATAAAGTTTCTGGCTATGAGCCTGCAATTTGTTAAATATGAGATTTTCTACTAATGTCAACAGGTCAGTTCATGCTTAGTTCCCATTGAGTAGCATGAATAAAAATATCTATAGATAGTATATAGATTTATAGATAATATCCACAGATACTACAGAATTTCAGATCGAGAGACGATTCCTATCTTAGCAACGACGAGGAAACAGAGAAGTGGATTTGAGCTGAGTTTTGCAGAATGAGTGAGATGTTTCATTTAATGTCTCGGTACATAGCCAATATGTAATACTCAAGGAAGCTCAAACTATATCTTACTTCACACAAAAATGATGATTTTTGAAGTTGAACATACTGTGATTTTCCCCCTCATCACTTACATTAGGTTTCAGAGAAATTTTCTCTTGACTTCTAATTGATGTTTAACTGGGAATTTCTTCCTAAAACGTTGACCTTAAGTTTCTCTCTCTCTCTCCTAATAAAGAATTAATGATAAACCAAGAAATAACAAATAATCCAGAAAAATTTATTCTTTAAAGCAGTGATTTTTCATCCTTCACTGTGCACTTGAGTTTCCTGGATGGCTTTTTAATATACCAATGCCTGGATTCCACAGTTTGGAGCCAAGCTTATACATCAGTATTTTTAAAACAGTTCTCAGATAATTCTAATATACAGCCAGAATTGAGAATCATTGGCTTAATTTAACCCTAACAATGAAATCAACGAACACTTCTTCCGATCTATTTTCAAAAGCCAATCTTTTCTGGTACATAAGCACAGTGCCAAATATCTCTATCAACAACATAAATGGAATCAGAAGAGCACAATTTGTTCATGTAGAACATTTACCTACAGGGGCAACACAGTTGATCCTTACTCCACTTGTGGCCCATTCCAAAGACAAGGTTTTGGTGAGGTTGTAGACACCTTCTCTGGCAGCTGCACTATGCCTTTAAAAGACAAAAATAGAAACACTATAATTAGCTTTTGTTGACTATTGCTCTCCTTTACTAAACTGGCAGGAGTGTCCATGACCTGTCAGAGCCCCATAAGAACATGCCTGTCATCAAGTTCTGTGTGTACGAGTCTCTGTCTGAACAATGGGAAAGAACTGGGTCCTCCCATATTAAAGCCAAAACACTGTCTGTCAGAGTCAAACAAATCTCATATTGTATAGGCCTGCGTGGAATTCCCCCAAATCACATGAACCTAAGAGAAATATTATGAAGAACATTTTTATTATGGAGGAAAACAAATTGGTGATTTGAGGGTTATAAGTATGGTGTGGTTTTTTTTTTTTAATTAATTGTAGATAACTGATGGATCCTTAAGAATTAGAGGACAGCCAATGATGAGTTTTCTGTGTGATCTTGCAAGCGAGACATGCAGATTAAGGAACTGCAGGCAGTTCCTGAAACAAATTCTTAGAATTGTCTCTAAGGTTCGTGAGGCCCATTTGTTTCCACTATAGAATAAACAACCCTTAAAGATTAGATAATAGCCTTTGAACTAGTCACTGCTTGATTAGCATTATTTGTGTGCATATAGTTAGAGGTCAGAAGTTAACATAAAGTTAGCCATTTTTACCAAGCATTGCTTGTGGGCATGTAGATAAAGGTTAGATATTAACATAAAGATAATCTCCTTTTGCTAAGCATTGTTGGTGCTAATGCAGTTGCTCACATACTCTTCAGATGTACCTGTTAAACACTGTAATAAAAGCCATGGTGAGCCTGAGATCGATGCTACATGCCTGAGCGAGCTGTAGCCCTCCGCTCATCTTGAATACATCTTGCCTGCTGATGCTTTTTTCGTGTCTCCAATCATTTTGAATGCAACAGATAATAAATATGAAATTCATACATCAGGCTAGAAATAGCTTCAATATAATTTTTCGATGTATCAAAATTTAAATAAATTGTAATATATCTCCAGCAAGAGGTTCAAAATATTTATGTCTGCGTCCACATAGGGGTTCCGGGCAGAAGGTCCAGCTATGCTGTGACTTACAGTTTCTAATGACAAGGTCCTCAGAACCACATATGTAAGATCTGAGGGTGTATCCACTTCTCACTAGGGAGTCTCTACTGAGCCCAATCTTCCTGCAGAAAACCCACACAGCCCTAGTGTCAGCTGCAGCCACCCTGATGGGAGTCCAGGCACTGCCAACAACTCCATCTGTTGGAAATTACCTGTGTGACCCTATTGCCATCAAATGTGGCCACAACTTCTGTTGCTACTGCATCCCACAGTCCTGGGCAGACCTACAAGACAGGTTCCCTTGCCCTGTGTGTTGCCAGCAATGCTAAGAGGGACCCTTCTGAAGCAACACCCAGCTGAGAAGGATGACTAAAGGATGGCCAAGCTCCGCCAGGATGACTAAAGGATGGCCAAGCTCCGCCGGGATGACTAAAGGATGGCCAAGCTCCGCCGGGATGACTAAAGGATGGCCAAGCTGCGCCGGGATGACTAAAGGATGGCCAAGCTCCACCCGGAGCAAGAGGCAGGGGCAAGAACTGACATGCTATGTAGGAAGTACAATCAAGTCCTGACCCTATTCTATGAGGAGGACCTCGAAGTGGTTGTCCACTCAGTTCCTTGACCACCAGGGCTACCACATGAGGTCCTGCCTCTCATGAAGAGGCTCGGCAGTTACATGGAGTCCCTGAAGGAGAAAGTGTCAGACATTCAGAAGCTAGTAGCTGCCCAAGAGAAAAACCACCAGTCCTGAGAGACAGGTGGAAAACCAGAGACAGAAATTACTCTCTGAATTTGAGCACCTAAACCAGTTTATAGAGCATGAGCAAGAGACCGCTGAAGGGTAGCAAAGTATGCTACCCCAAAATATGACTATAGGAGTTTAAGACATTTCAGCCACAAAATGCCACATTGACGTATTGTTTTGAGCTGTTGGCCCTTGAAAAACATCAAATGCAGGGAGAGGCTTTCTCTGATCTCCTCTTATCTGCCGGAAGACAGATTCTCCAAAAGAAACTCCATTGTCATAAATCCCTTCCCTGGGAGTTTCAACAACTACAGAAGACCAATTCTTGTCACAGGAGAGGAGACTAGAAATAGACACCTCTCCCAGGCAAACTTGATCACAAACTCCCACACCTCCCATCTATTCTCTCCAAAAAATCATTTATGCTCTCTCCCATACGAGGTCTACATCTCCCTTCCTCTTTCCTTATTAAGATGGTATTTAGCCCTGGCCAGTTTGGCTCAGCGGTTAGAGCATCGGCCTGCGGTCCGGAGAGACCCGGGTTCAGTTCCCACTAAGGGCACGTACCCCGGTTGCAGTTTGTTCCCGGCCCTGGTTGGTTGTGCGGGTGGCGACCACTCGATGTGTCCCTTTCACATCGATGTTTTTCTCTCTCTCTGTTCCTCTCTTTCCCTCCCACTCTACCTGAACAAAAAATGGAAAAAATGTCCTCGGGTAAGGATGATAAAAAAAATAAATAAATAAAATGGTATTTAAGTCTGAATTCTAAGCCACCTCAGGCAGTTACTATTTTCCCCTGGGTATCTCCCATGTATCCATGAGGTTTACATAATAAACTTGTTTTTTTCTCTTCTTAATCTGCCTTTTATTACAGGGGTTGCACCCAAGAACTGAAAGGGTAGAGGGAAAATTATTTTTCTTCCCTACACAATTCTCTCAAGATTTGCTAATGAAGAGGTCATTCAGCAGAAGCTCAATGCAAACATAACAGCATGTTCAGACTACATGTCCGCAGGCGAAGCTCTCCTAAAAAGGTGGCAGAGAAGAGTGCGATGTCAGTAGGGCATTGCTGATGGATGTCAAGAATGCTGGCGACAGGTAGGAAAGTCTGCAACCCCCAACAATGTTCCTTCCAGTTAAGGAGGGAAGGATGCAGTTTTCTCTGCAGCACTCAGCTCTGCAGAAAATTATACAGGAGTTGAAAGAAGTTACTCTGGATCCTGAACAACACATTCTAATCTTGTCTTTAAGGATTAAAAAAAACAACCCTGTGACATTTGTGAAGAAAAAGCAAAGAATCCAGTTCCTCTACATCCAGAGATTTACAGCTGATCAATAGTCCTGGGTTCTGAATGATTTGATTCTGGCCAGCGTTACTGGAAGGTTCCACGTGGATGACAAAGCTGAGTGAACCATGGGGTTTGTAAAGACTCCGTTTTCATGAATGGAAAGTGACCTCCTCTCCCCCCGTAAGGACAGAACAGAGGGTGGACAATTCAGCTGCAAAATGATGACTATGTTGACTGAGGAGCTGTTCCGGTCACTCTTCTAAAGGAAAAGCCCAGAGGGACTGGCATTTATCTAAACAATGGTCCAGATATGGGTAAGATTTTATTTTACCATTTGAATAACAGGTCTCACATCCATTCTTACACTGATACATTTTCCAAATTACTAAGGCCTTATTTCTGCATCAGATGTGATTTAAAACTTCTTACAATCTGAATGATAAACTGCCCGTAAGGCTGTTACTTTCCTTTATTTATTTCCTGTAGTTTATAAATAGAAGACAGAATCATGTGCAACTCTCAGTGAATTTAGCACTAACAAATTTTTAAAAGCTTCTACAACTTATATACATAAATGAAATCATGTAGTATATGTTCTCTTTCCTCTGGCTTCTTTCACTCAGAATAATTATTTTCAGATTCATTCATATTGCATGAGTCAATATCTTTTTATTTCTGAGAATTAGTCCATTTTATAGATATACCACAAATTCGTTTATTCATCCAACCATTGATGAACACTTGAGCCACACACATAAATGTCTCTCCATTGGACATGTGAGTTGCTTTGGGGCCCATCTCTTGCCCTTGTCATTACTGACAATGACCCAGAAGATCAGCAGATCAGTCTAAATTCCCTTGCACAGACTATAATGGAAAAGAGACTAGCATTAGACAAAATTGGAAAGAAAATGATCAGAACCCCCACAGAAAAATGTGCCAAGATAGCAATACAGTCCAAACACACACACAAAAGATATCTGATAGTCTTTTAACAAATGAGAAGATGCTCCTCTGAGAATAGCACTTCTTGCCCACCATGGTTGTGCAGAAGTCAGTACACCCATTTTGGGTGAGGCTGTGGGCAGCGGGCAACTCTCACATATTGCTGGTGGGAGCGCAAAACAGAAAGAAATTTGGACACCTGCGGTATGCATTTAACCTTCACCCAGCAACCCAGCTCCCAGGATGTACCCTGAAGATATACCTTCACAAGTACGAAACAAATACGTACAATGTTATTCACTGCAGGATTATTTGTAATAGCAAAATGTAGGAACAATACGAATTTCTATTAAATTTGAAACTGTATATACATTTGAAACAATTAATTTGAAAAACAAATCCGTAGGTCCATGGTGGTATCGCAAAAAGTTTAATAATGATGATATTATTATAAATAATATCAATAAATATATATAGAGAAAAGGGATGATTGTGGTGGAAAAAATCTTTTTAATGGAAGAATATCTGCTTATAAATATAGAATGAAATCAGAAAAATAAACATTTTACATCTTCAATGTAATAATTGATTTAGGTAAGGATCAACAGTGGTTGCTAAAATCATGATGACAAAGAGTATTCATACAGTGCCAAAATATCACCCTACAGATTATAGATTACATAATAATTATAAAGTAATTAAGATCACTATCTTAATAAGTTAACAGATTATTTCTGGGATGACAGGGTATAAAGGATTTGACTTTCTATCTTATACAGTTATATATTTACATGCATTATTTTTATAACACTAAGATGAGTCCATTTAAGAAAAATAAGAATTTTATGTTGGAAAATAAAAATAATTAAAATCTTATTTTAAAAAGATTAAAAGCTTTAGAGCTTATAAAAGATACTAGAGAACCCTGGCTGGTGTGGCTCAGTTGGTAAAAGCATCATCCTGTACATTGAAAGGTTGTAGGTTTGATTCCAGGTCAGGTAACCACTGAAAATGCAAACACTGGAACCCATCAGTGTGAAGAAGAAACAGTCACTGCTTCCTCACTGTACAAGCTGCTCTCTAACAATATGCCTCTGAGCCCCATTCCATGTTTTGGTTTAGGTGCTCCCAGTTTGTAAACAGTCTTTTTAGTGTGTATACAGTACATTTTTACTGATCACTATTTCGGTGATTTTTTGTTTGTTTGTTTTACTTGGCTATTTCTGAACCTTTGACACATAGAAAAAAATACATAAAAATGCTTACGCAAATCTTGGAAATCCATTTTTAGTAAGCATAGTGATATTGACAATAGATCCTCCATGTTCTTTCATCCAAAAGTTGTAAACTGGAGAAAACAGACAGATGGCAGTCATGTTAAACAGTGATCTGACCCTTCTCTGATCCCCTGTTCCAGCATGCTGCTCTTGTAATGTATTTTAAATTTACATTTCCTTTTTTATAAAAAGCTTAGCTGAGGTGCATTGTACATATCATACAATTCATCTGCTTTATGTGTACAATTTAATAATTTAAACAAATATATACAGAATTGTGCAACCATCAACACAATCCAGTTTTAGAACATTTCCATCACCCTAAAAAGTTCCTCTGGGCCCATTTACAGCCAAATCCATTCCCTGGCAAATACTCATTTACTTTCTGTTTCTATAGACTTACCTCTGAACATTTCACATAAATGGAATTACATAATATGTGGTCTTTTATGTCTAACTTCTTAGAATAATCTGCCTGGCCGGTGTGGCTCAGTGGATTGAGTGTCGTCCCATGGACTGAGAGGTCCCAGTTCAATTCCCAGTCAAGGCACATGCCTGGGTTGCAGGCTCGATCCCCAGTACAGGGTGTGCAGGAGGCAGCCGATCGGTGTTTCTCTCTCACATCCATGTTTCTATCTCTCTCCCTTCCTCTTTTTCCAAAAAATCAATAAAAACATATTTTAAAAAAAGAATAATGTTTGTGAGGTTCATCCACATTGTAACATGTATCAATAGTTCCTTTTAATTGTTGAATAGTACTCCATTGTATGGATGTGCCATATTTTATTTATCCATTAGCCAGCTGATGAACATTTGGATTGTTTCCACTTTGGGGTGATCATGAACATGTCTTTACATAGACACACGTTTTTATTCTTTTGGATTAAGGGTAGAATTGCAGTTGTATGGTAACTCTATGTTTAGCTTTGTAGGAAACTGCCAAACTGTTTTTCAAAGTGTCTCTAAGTTTTGCATTCCTACCAGAAATGCAGGAGGACTCCAGTTCCTCCACACTATTATCCTCTGACTTTTTTATTATAGCCATGCTAGTGGAAATAAAGTAGTATTTCACTGAGGTTTTGATGTCCATATCCTTAATGACCAATGGTGTTGAGCATCTTCTGATGTGCTTATTAACCATTCATATATTTTCTTCGGTAAAATATCTACTCAAATCTTTCTTTTTTTAATCCTCACTTGAGGATATTTTTCTATTTATCTTCAGATAGGGTGGGAGGGAAGGAGAAAGAGATGTGAAAGAGACACATCAATTGGTTGCCTCCCGCACGACCCCAACCGGGCCCAACCGGGGCTGGGGATGAACCGCAACTGAGGTACATGCCCCTGACCACAATCGAACCCGCGATTCATTGGTCTGCAGGCTGATACTTTAATCACTAAGCAAAACTGGCCAGAACTCAAATAATTTTTTTCCCCATTTTTATTTATTTTTTTAATTTTATTTTTGTTACAGATGTTTCTCCTTTTTTACTCCATTGACACCCTCCTCCCCATTTCCCCCGCCCTGCCCCGGCTTTGTTGTCCATGTCCATTGGTTATTTTTTTCCCATTTTTAAAATTGGGTTGCTTTCTTATTATTGAATTATAAAAGTTCTTCATGTATTCTGAATACAAGCCTTTTATCAGATATGTGATTTGGACATTTTTTCTCCCAGTCTGTGGCTTACTTTTTACTTTTTTTTTTTTCAATTTATTTATTTTTTATCTTTATTGTTGTTCCCCTTTTTCCCACCATTGATCCCTTCCTCCCTACATCTATTCCCTTTCTGTCTTCCCCACACTATTGTCTCTTTTCACTTTTTTAATGATGTTTTTTGAAGCACAAACATGTTTAAGTTCAAGTCTAGTTTATCAATTTTGTATTTTATGGACATATGGGTATTTTTGGTGGTTGTTCTTAGGACTCTTTGCCTAACCCAATGTCAGAAAGATTTTCTTCTTTGCTTGCTTCTAAAAGTTTTATAATTTTACTTTTTGTATTTTGGTCCATGATCCATTTTGGACTATTAGTTAACTCCTATTTATGGTGTGAGGTAAGGGTCTTTTTATACATAGATATCCAACTGTCTCAGTACTATTTGTTGAAAAGATTATAATTCCCCCATAGAATTGTTGGCACCTTTGACGAAAATCAGTTGACCCCAAATATAAAGGTTTATTTCTGGACTCTCAATTCTTTCCCATTTATCTGTACATCTGTCCTTATGCTACTACCACAGCGCTTTGAAATCAAGAAATATAAGTCCTCTGACTTTCTTCTTTTGTAAAATTGTTTTGGCTTTTCTGGGTCCTTTGCATTTCCATAGATACTTTAGGACCAGCTTGCCAATCTTTGCAAAAAATTGATAGGAATTGCATTGACCCTACAGATCAATTTGGGAAGAACTACCATCTTATCAATATTGAGACTTCCAATTCATAAACAGACCATCTTTCCATTTACTGAGATCTGTTATTTCTCTCAGCAATGTTTTGTAATTTTTAGCATACAAGTCTTACACTTCTTTGTTAATTTCATTCTTAAATATTTTGTCATTTTTGAAGCCCAATAGGATATATAATCATCCATTCTATTTATACAAGTCAAGACAAGGCCAGAGATGTACCTCAGGATTCAATTCAACAGAAATCTAATTTTTAGAAGATAAAGACCAGAGAATAATTTAATACTCATTCCTACTAGAAACTTAAGCAAAAATAAGGATGCCTTCCCACTATACTTAATGCTTTTCCATGAATTCTGACCAATTCTTAATATATGAAGAGGTAAAACCGCTAGAAAAGAAGACATGAAATACAACATTGTGTAACTTTTATCACATTGCTGAAATTGGGAAATGTCTTACAATTGGGGGCATCTTACAATTACAAATAGTACTGCTTTTATATTGCTAACAATATATAAAATGATGGTGCATTTCACAATTGACTGTACCTTTGACTCAATGAAATACAGTAGTTATTTTTAGTTTCATTTTTTTATATATAGTAGTTTTCATTTTTCTTATAGAAAAGGCAGGTTAAGTTATAGAAAAATATTTTTCAACATTTATAATGATTACATTTCCTTTGTTCTTTATTATGTCTCTCAAATGTGTATTTAAGAAAATGGCAGCTATTTCTTTTTTAATTGAATTTACTAAGGTGACATTGGTTAATAAAATTATATAGGTTTCAGGTATACAATTCTACAATACACCACCTGAATAATGTATTGTGTGTTTACAACCCCAAGTCAAGTCTCTTTTCATCACCATTTATCCCCCCTTTACCCTCTTCTACCTCCCCGCAAATCCCCTTCCCTCTGGCAATCACCATAAAGCTGTCTGTGTCCATGAGTCCTTCTTTTCTTTGCTTAATCCATTCACCCTTCTCACCCAGCCCCTCTCGAGTCTGTCTCCACTTTGTTACTTTGTTTTGTTCATTAGATTCTGCATATAAATGAAATTATAAGGTATTTGTCTTTCTTTGACTTGCTTATTTCATCTAGCATAACACTCTCCAGGTCTATCCATGCTGTCCCAAAAGGTAAGGTTTCCTCCTTTTTTGTGGCTGAGTAGTATTCCATTGTGTAAATGTACCACAACTCTTTTATCCTCTCATCTACTGATAGACCTTGGGCTGCTTCCAAATCTTGGCTATTATAAATAATGCTGAAATGAACATAGCAATGCCTATATTCTTTCAAATTAGTGTTTTGGGTTTCTTTGGCTATATTCCCAGAAGTGGAATCTCTGGGTATTAGGCAGTTCCACTTCTAATTTTTTTAGGTAACTCTATACTGCTTTTCATAGTGACTGCACAAATCTGCATTCCTTTTCTCCACATCCTTGCCAGTATTTGTTATTTGTTGATTTATTGATGATAACTATTCTGACAGGTGTGAGGTGACATTTCCTTGTGGTTTTAATTTGCATTTCTCTGATGATTAGTGATGTTGAGTATCTTTTCATATGTTTATTGGTCATCTGTATGTCCTCTTTGGAGAAGTGTCTACTCAAGTCCTTTGCCCATTTCTTAATTGGACTGTTTGTTTTTTGGTGTTGATTTTCATTAGTTCCTTATAAATTTTGGATCTTAACCCCTTATCAGATATATCGGCAAATATGTTCTCCCATTCAATGGGCTGTCTTTTCATTTTGTGGATGGTTTCCTTTGCTGTGCAAAAATTTTTCAGTTTGATGTAGTCCATTTGTTTATTTTTCATTTGTTTCCCTTACCCAAGAAGCTATATCAGAAAAAAATACAGCTAAGAGATATGTCAGAGATTTTACTACCTATGTTTTATTCTAGGAGTTTTATGGTTTTGAGCCCTATATTTAAGTCTTTTATCCATTTTGAGTTTATTCTTGTATATTGTGTAAAAGGGTGGTCTAGTTTCATTTTTTTGCATGTATCTGTCCAACTTTCCCAACACTATTTATTGTATAAACTGTCTTTATTTCATTGTATATTTTTGCCTCCTTTGTCATATATTAATTGGCCATTAGATGTGGGTTTATTTCTGAGCTCTCTATTTTGTTCCATTGATCTATGTGTCTCTTTTTATGCCAGCACCATGCTGTTTTGATTACTATAGCCTTGTAGTATAGTTTGATATCAGGTAGTATAAAACCTCCAATTTTGTTCCCTCTTCTCAACATTGCTGTTGCTATTCAGGGTCTTTGTGGTTCCATATAAATTTTAGATTGTTTGTTCTAGCACTGTGAAATATGCCATTCGTATTTTGATAGGAAGTACATTAATTCTATAGATACCGTTGGGTACTATGGACATTTTAATGAATGAAACATAACCAGTAATCCAAAGACTATGCTATGATAATTAGTTGTTAGTCAGAAAGAATGTGGGCTCTGTCTGGTATTTTTCTCTAAGGACCTTTTTGAATTAACAGGTCCTTACAAAAGTTTTATTTCTTACAAAGTAAGTGTGAGAGTTTTCTTTAATTTTATAAACAACTTTGTAGCTATGTCTCTGTACATATTTTTAATAATTTTCTCATGATAAATTCCTAAAAATAAAATTGTAAGATCAAAAGATATCCATATTTTATAAATATTGCCAAATTACTACCCAGAAATGTAGCACTTTACAACCCTGTGTTGTATGTGAGTAAATCAGGGCATTAAATGTTGACAACATGGAGCTTTTTGAGACCCTAACAATTTCTCTTTCAGTATCTCTATGATCTTTAAATAAAGACACCTTGAATTTTGGGGTTATTGATCACACTTGCCTGCTTTGCACATGTAGAAGGTGCCCGACAGGTTTGTTTCAATCACGGCATGCCATCCTTTCGAACTGATGTCCTTAGCCAAAGATGTGAACTGGCCTCCTCCATTGTTTACCAAGAAATCAATTTTACCATACAATTCTAAGGTGGATTTGACCAAATTATTTACCTAAAGAAAAACATTAATAGTCAATGGGTTAATAATCTAACTTGCTACTTGGACTGATGGTTTGCTCTAGGAGAGCTTACTATCTCTCACCATGAATGGTAACCTGAATACCACAATATCCACAGATCATAAAGTTAAATGTATCATTTTGTTTCCCTTCCTGTCCTCCTGAGGCAACTTACTCAATAAATCACTAACAGAAGAATCTCCTTCACAGGCTCTGCTTCTCTTGAACCTCATCTGACACAGGTAACATAGGAAAATCTGAAGCACAGTCAAGTGTAGGAACCAGTAGTATAAATTAAAAATGAATAAGTAATATGGATATATTTGTATTACCTCCTCTTCGTTACGGATGTTGCATTTTATGGGAGTGACTTGAGACTTGTGGATGACAGGCAGGGTGGTCTTCAGTTCATCTACAGTAGATTTTAATACATCAAATTTACGGGATGCAATGACCACATTACAGCCTGAGGAAAAAAACATCCAAAGAACAAGTAAATATGTTTTCATTGGTTGCCCAAATCCCACAAATAATAATGCTTAACAAATATGTCATGTGTTCTCATAAAAACGATGAATTAGGTCTTCTGCTTCTGGTCAAGATGGAGTAACAAGAACTGAGTTTACTCTCCAGCCCCAAACTACTAAAAAGCTGGACAAACTGTATGAAACAATGGTTTTCGGGTATTGGACATCAGGTAGCACTGAATAGTAATCTCAGAGAATGGAAACAAGCAAAGTGAGCTCTATGATTATTCCAGCTGGCTGCCTGGAGAGAATCTTTGGCTGCAAAATAAGGAAAAGAAAGCTATTTAGAGCCCAGTAGTGTCCTGGGTAGAAGAGATGAAGCTAGAAGTCTGGGGAGGCCTAGATGACTAGATTACACAGGACAGAGAGAGAAAAGAGGTACAGAGAGAGAACACCAGAAATTTGCAGAGAGTTCCCTCAAATCTTTTTCTTTTTTTAATCCTCACCTGAGGATATTTTTCCATTTAACTTCAGATAGAGTGGGAGAGAGGGGGAGAGAGAGAGAAACATAGATGTGAAAGAGACACATCGATTGGTTGCCTCCCGCATGACCCTGACCAGGCTGGGACTGAATCACAACCAAGATACATGCCCTTGGCCAGAACTGAACCCATGACTGTTTTGGTCCACAAAATGGTTCTCCAACCACTGAGCCAAACCACTGATCAGAGCATGTAAGTAAGGAAATTGTCTGAGAATGGGGAACATCTGACCCCCACTTCTGAGTGATCCCCCACTCAGAAGAATAAGGCCTCAATAGTGAAGCAAAATTAGCCCTAGACTAAAAGCTAATGTTTTAGTTAAGATCAATGCTTAACATTAAAACTTGTTAACTGGGCGGGACATATAAATACATCAAACGTTGCATACAGTAAAAACCCGGTTAACAGGTTAAGTAAGCCTCTTTTTAAAGTATTGCACTATCTCCAAGTAACTTAAACTATGTCGCAGAATAAAGCTCAAGAAAATGTATAATATAAAGAGAATAAGCATCCAACAAGGTAAAATTCAAGATATCTGGCTTGCAACAAAAATGACCAGACATGCAAAGGAACAGGAAAATAATAGCCATAATGAGGAGAAAAGTCAATGAATAAAAAACACACCCAGAAAGGACACTGATGATATAATTAAATAAGCCACTGAAAAAGTGAAAAATTTTCAAAGCCAGAGAAAAGGAACACATTAAGTATAGAAAAAAGACAAAAAAGACAGAAGACTTCTGTTCAGAAACAATGCTAGCCAGAAGACAGTGGAATGTCTTGAAAGTTGCTGAATTAGCACCCCCACCCCCCGCCCCAGCCCTGCAACCATACATACACACACACAGGTTCTTGTACCCTATGTGCCAGTAGGCCAAAACATTGAAACAGTGGTGCTTGGAGATAAAGGTTTATTTGATTTGGGTAAATAAAGAGGACAGAAGAATAAGATCTCTCAAAAAGCAAAAGTAGGGAGTTTTTATGCAGCTAGGAATTAAGGGAATGGGAGTTCCATGAAAATGAGAAAGGAGTCCAAGTTTCTTTAGTCACAGAGACTTTTCATACTAGACTCCTTATGGCCCTGGAGTTATTTTCTCCTGCTTGACAAAGAAACAGTACACTAGCAACACAAAATTATATTGTGAGAACAAGAGGTACTGGATTAAAAAGCCAAGATTCTGTAAAATATCTTACTTGTGTATCAGAGACCTCACCATTAAAGCAAAAAATAGAAACTAGGTATCTTGTGATTATCACCATTGTTTATGCTACCATTGCTTTGTGCTTAACTAGCTATATTTTTCTATTATCTCAAGCAAAGTGTCTTTTAAACATTTCTCCTAGAACTTGCTTTATAGGCAGTCCTTCAGTCCATGACTAACATACTTTCTTAATTTTTAACTACAACCAAAGCGATCAAAACATTTTGTTAAAGCCTGTACCTATATTCCAGTTGAGAATTAAATTATTTAGTTCCAGCTGTGAAACACACTAGGGACATTAAAATTACAAGGAGTTCGGCTACAAAAGTACTTCAGGGCCAGGAGTGGAGGGTAGGGGGGATTATGCATCTGGAAATCTTGACCTAGTGAAAATAGATTTCAAAAATGATGGCAAAATAAAGACTTGCTCACATAAATAATACCTGGAAGGCTTTGTTAAAGCAGACCTTCACTACAAGAAAAGATTAGAGGAAGTCCTTCAAGCCAGAAAGACAATAATACCAGATAAAAATTTAAATCTAGACTTCCGGTCAAGATGGCGGTAGGTAAACGCGGTATCGCGTCCTCCCACAACCACATCAAAGTTACAACTAAACTACAGAACAACCATCATTCAAAACAGCCTGAAATCAAGCTGAATAGAAGTCCTACAGCTACGGAATTAAAGCAGCAGCCACATCCAGACTGGTAGGAGGGGTGGAGGGGCTGGGCCCACACCCATGTGTGGCGGATAAAAATCAGGAGGACACCTCGGCTGGGAAGGTCCTTCCTGAGGACTGAGGGGTCCCCGTCCCACACCAGGTGCCCCGCTCATGGTTCCAGTGCCAGGAAGAGAATCCCCATCACTTCTGGCTGGAAAAACCAGCGGGAACTGAGGCTCAGGGAAGCTGAAGCGGCTGGAGCCCCAGGCAGCTCCTTAAAGGGCCCGCGCACGGACTTATCAGACTCTCTCCCTCTAAGCTCGGAGGGGAGGCAGCTCGAGGGGCACCAGAGACATACAGGGAAGAACTGAGCTGTTTGGCACTGGAGCGAGGGCTGGAGAGGGGGCTTTCTCCCGACAAAGGTGCTGTCAGAGGCCTTTGTTCCTTTGGTGAGCCCTTCCCTGGGGCGGCAGACAGCCACCATATCTGGGACTCCAGCAACCTGGCTCACACTGGTAGCCCCACCCTGGTGACTCCCTGAGGCCCCGCCCCACCCCACCCAACTTTCAGGCCCACCCAAGCTGTTGCCATTTGCTTAACCAAAGGATTGGCCTGTCTTGGATCCTGCTTCAGGTTTTTCCTAAATTCTTTCAAATTAGCGACATCTGGTCTCAGCGAGCCCCATACCTCTCGTTAAGTAATACATAGAAACAAACACAGGGAGGCAGCCAAAATGAGGAGACAAAGAAATGGGTCCCAAATGAAAGAACAGAACAAAACCCCAAGAAAAGAACTAAGCGAAATGGAGATAAGCAACCTAACAGATGCTGAGTTCAAAATACTGCTTATAAGGATGCTCAATGAACTTAGTGAGAACCTCAGTGAACTTAGTGAGGGCCTCAAGAGCATAAAAAAGGACCAGTCAGAAATCATGGATTAGAATTGAAGGAGGCATTAACCGAAATAAAGAATAATTTACACAGCTTCAATAATAGAGTACGTAAATCCAAGGAGCAAACTATCGATTTGAAATATCAGGAAGCAAAAAATGCCCAATCAGAACAGCAAAAAGAAAAAAAGAATCCAAAAAAATGAGGATAGTGTAAGGAACCTCTGGAACAACTTCAAGCGTGCCAACATTCACATCTTGGGGGTGCCGGAAGGAGAAGAGCGAGAACAAGAAATCGAAAACCTGTTTGAAACAATAATGGCAGAAAACTTCCCTAACTTGGTGAAGGAAACAGACATACAAGTCCAGGAAGCACAGAGAGTCCCAAACAAGATGAACCCCAAGAGGCCCACACCAAGACACATCATCATCAAAACGCAAAAGGTTCAAGACAAAGAGAGAATCTTAAAAGCAGCAAGAGAAAGGCAGCTAGTTACCTACAAGGGAATTCCCACTAGGCTGTCAGCTGATTTCTCAAAAGAAACTTTGCAGGCCAGAAGGGAGTGGCAAGAAATATTCAGAGTGATGAAAAGCAAGAACCTACAACCAAGATTACTCTATCCTGCAAAGCTGTCATTTAGAATCGATGGATATGACTTTCCCAGACAAGAAAAAGTTAAAGGAGTTCATCACCACCAAACCGTTATTATATGAAATGATGAAGGGTCTTTTTGAAGAAAAAAATAAAATATATGAACAAACAAAATGGCAATGAATACATATCAATCAACAATGGAATCTACAAACAAAATGAACAGGTAGAACAGAAACATTCTCATAGATACAGAGAACATTTTGTTGGTTGCCAGATGGAAGGGGGTTTGGGGGAATGGGTGAAAAAGGTGAAGGGATTAAGAAGCACAAATTCATTGCTAGACTAACAAACCTCAAAGGGAAAGGGGTTGGAGGGGGTGGGAAGAAATAAACCAAAGAACTTATATGCATAACCAATGGACACACACAATAGTGTGGGAAAAGGCAGGAGGGGGGCGGGAGTGGGGAGGAGGGGGTCAATGGGGGAAAAATGTGGAACATCTGTAATATATTTTACATTCAACAATAAAGATTAAAAAAAAAAAAAAGAAAAAAATTTAATCTACAGAAAAATGCCAGAAATGGCAATTATTGTAGTAAATATAAAGATTTTTCTTCTTTCTATTCAAATCTCTTTAAAAAGTGGTGATTGTTTAAAGTAAAAATGATAACAATATACTGTGGGATTTCTAATATATGTAAAAATAAAATACATGCAGACAACAGCATGACGGCCAGGAAGGGTAAAATATAAGGACAGGTAGTCCTTGATTTGCTCAACTCTAATGTGCACTAATTTCAGTTATTTTAGCTCAGCTAAATAACACTGGTTGCCCACCAACATGGTTCAAATTTCAGTTACCATGGGATAGTAACTGAGAATAACCACATAAAATGTAAACCTCACTGCTCGCTCTTCAATCCACAAATCACCATGTGAAGAACAGATGCACATCATGATCAACAGAGCATGTCACTTCTTTTGATTCTGTCGTGACCAGTCCTGTGCATCTATCCGGCGGGTCACACACAGAAAGCAAAATATGCAGTCCTGCTGCCTCCTTGTCTCTTAGTGATAAACCCACATGACATTTTACAAAAAGGGGATAT